CTGTACTCGGTATTATTTTCCTTTGCAATTTCTCTTGAGACAAAATCATAATGAAGGAGAGAAGCAGAATGTATTAAACTTCCCAGAGTATATTAAATTTCTTATAGGTATATTGCTTTAATTTCCTTTATATCCTCTAGATATAATTTCTTCCAGGTGTTAGCACATGGACACTATTTTCAAAGATGACCTAGATAATATTTGTAATTTTGTTTTATTATACCAAGTTATTCTATTAATTTAAAGTAACTAATGGAATAGAAAACCTTTAGGCTTTCCTTTGAGAATTGTTTGTCTGCAAGGAAATTGTCTTTGCGTACCATCTTTTGAAACTGGAAAATGTACCCTGAACTAAGTGGGGAGTTTTCGTTATAGGTTTTGCAAAACATTAAATGAACAAAATGAATGGACGGATGAAAAAAATCAATAGGCTGTTTTCTTTATCCAGAGTTTCTAGACTTAATTCATTCTCACAAGAAAATCTTATATTTACTAATTAGGGATGCGTAGATCTGTGGAGAGAATTTCTGAAGTTGACAGGGATTTGGATTTGTGGTTAGAACCGATTTGAAACCTGGATCCTACTTCAGCATGGCTCTGCCCACCCACCTGCTGTCCAGCCCCGCCCCCCCATGTCTGTATGTGGCGCTCTCCCTCCCTCACCCCACACCCATGTGTGGCCCTCTTCCTTGAGCTCACTTGAGAGCTTGTCCTTTGTGATGGGCAGACTAAAGCAATGAGTCACTCATCCTTGGGCCTGAAGTGAGCCTTGCAATAAGACCAAACTGGGAATGGCAGTCATTGGAAGAACAAAAAGAATAGTAAAGAGTCTCTGAAATAAAATGCCTATACAGGTTAGAGCAACTAGAGACAAATTTGGCAATATTGCCAACAGAATGTTCCTTGGTAATATTAACACAATTTAAAGCATTTTCTTCACCACATTATTTACCTGAATTGATGTCTTCACTAGCAATCAAGCCTTGATTGCCTCCTATTCATTAGCTTTTGATTTAATTAATAAGACTTGTTAAGAGGCTTCTTCAATGTTTTCCTGTAAACAGCTCTAATTTGTTGACCCAATTTGAATTTTGTAATTCTTTTAAGTTATTTAAATCAATGCTTGAATTATATGCTTTAAGCCTTCATAAAATAGCTTAAATCCACGAGATATATTTGGAAGATACAGTGTTCATTTTATTTTTTATAGAATAACATGTATATATCTTCTTTTGATGCCTTTAAAAGCTTAACATTTTGTAAATGAGTTAGTAACTTAGAATTTCAAGTATTTCAGGCTGTACTAAAGTTTAAAATATATATGCACAAAAGGTGGAACATTAGTACCATTTCTTAATGTTATTTTTTCCAAAGGTACCTTTTCCAAAAGTGGAGCTAATGACTTAACATTTTTACTAGGCATTAGAACTGAGGGATTTAGCAGTTGCTGAGTGTCTAGACAAGTAGAAAAAAACTAATTAAGAAAGGAGAAAGTCACAATGACTCTTAGGTTAAAGAGCAATTTGATAATCAATATGATTCTTGAGGGGAAATCAGTGAAGCAGTTGGAGAAGAGGAAGATGCGATTATTGGTCTGTGCTCAGATTCTTAAAGGATAGTGAGTGTTTTGAAACATGTTTGCTGGGTGCAAAAAGGTTAATTAACAAAGCATCCTGCAAATTCTAAAATTTCAAGGAAATGAAAACTTTATCTACATGCATCAAAAACAAAGAGATTGCACCTCTAACTTGAAAAAAGAAAATAAATATTTGAACCCAACATGAAAGAAGATGTTGAATGCCTTATACAATTTTGGCATTTCTGAAGTTCTTTGGAAATAATAATTTTAATACTTTATTTTGTACTGATTTTGCAAGTATGAGGAGGAAAATGTCAGTATATTAGCAGTATCAATATTCATTCAGTAAAACATTTTGAGAATCTACTCAATGCCAGGAAGATTCTAGATACTGTGCAGGTAACAAAACAAAAAGTCCTTTCACTCCTGGAGCTTATCGTGTAGTACAGATTTTAAGAAAATCTTAGTTTCATGTGCTGTAATACATAAAATCTCAACATCATTAGCTGTTGTGATGCTCATAACCTATAAAAATCCTAACACTTGGTGGTTCAATTCATGGAGAATTCAGAATCAGAATTCCATGAACCTAGGTTTTGTTGTCTTATGCAGTTACCATAGAAAATATCAAAAATTTTTTCACCATAAAAATAATGCAAATTATTCTACGAGATTACTTACAGGGATTCCATCTTTAGTTGCATTTAAAGAATGAGTGTTGACTCAATTAAAGGCTCATCTCCTTTCAGTATGTTACAGGGCAATCGTAGTTTCATGGCCCGAGATTGTACTCTCAGAAGCATGAGGTCCCTCTATATCAGAATTCAGTTCACACTATATACAAGTTAATGCTCTTAAGGGAAATGGAAAGCTTTGCAGGAGGAAGGTTGTGTGTGTGTTTTATGGGTGAGGGGAAAATATCTGTAAATGAGGGGAAAATTCCAAGCAGTTCCTGGAATCAGTTACTGGCTCCTTAGGGAGCCAGTGATGAGCTCAACTGGGCTGAGAAAAATCCATGCAGATGTCAGCACTGACTGCATCCCAGCCTCAAGCCCTGCCAAAGGCCTCTGTCTCTTAGTCCTGAAGGACAAAGTGAAGAGCACAAGGTACAGTCTCCAGCTGGATCCCACGTGCATGGTAATTTTTTGCCTACACCTGGGTACCTAAAGCGCAAACAGGACTAGAAAAATCAAGGTTAATATACTCAGGAGAGGAGGTTGCAGAGCAGAAAAAGCAGCAGGATGGTTCTCCCAGCAGAAACACGGGTAAAAATAAACACAACAACTCCTAACCTTGAGGAGATGGCACATTGTGGAGCCTTATAATCAGATGTCCTTATCCCATTACTATAACCAGCAATTTCAACAGTCAGTTCAATGAGAAATGTCATTAGGATGGTTGGACTGGATGAATTCCTTGGCCTTTTGAGTTTTGTGCTATAGCATTTTTTTAAAAAGTAAAAATGGAAGAATTAGATACAGTTTTTAAAAAAGAGGCACTCAGCTTTTTTATGTCAGACTCAGGCAGTGGATTCTCTGGGCTGCATGAGTTTTTCTTTGCTGGTTCCTTAATGTCTAAAGATCTTTGGCAGCAATTTAAATTACAAAAAGAAACTATTTTGACTTACTAGATTGGCAAAATAAAACATTGATGACACATAGCATAGGTGAAGAAGGGGAGGTGTAGGAGCTTTCATTATTTACTATAGGAAGGGCAGATTGGTATCTTGTATGTAGGATAGTTTTCCAATATTCATCAAATTAGAAATTAAAAATGTGCAAACCTTTTGACCTTGTAATTTCATATTTAAGAATTTACCTTACAGATATATTTTTACATGGATAAAATTACATATACAAGAATATTTATTGTATCATTGTTTATAGTAGCACAAAATCGGAAACAAGCTAAATGCCTATCAGTAGAAGACTGGGATTAAATTAAATATACTGTACTCATGCAGAGTAATACCCTGTGGCACACTGTGGCCTTCCAAAAGCAAGAGGCAGTTTTTAATGCATTTATAAGGAAGTCTACCAAAATATATTATTGAATGACAAAAACAATGTACAGTATATACAGCATACTCTGTACTACCATTTGTGTATGTGCATATATGTATGTGTGATATATGTATGGAAGTCTGTATATCTGAAAATATATGTGAACAATGGTAATTGGTGACCTCAGAGCATAGGAGTTGGGTGGCTGAAGAAAGGTATGGCTGGGAGATTTACTTTTTACCAAATACCTTCTTTTAACTTTTACAGTTTTTAAAAAATATAGTCAGTCCTTCACATCCACAGTTTTTACATCTTTAGATTCAACCAACTCTGAATCAAAAATATTAGGGAAACAGAACGATAAAAAAAAATAATACAACCATAAAAATACAGTATAACAATTATGGTTATAGCATTTATATCATAGTAGGTATTATATGTAATGTAGAGATGATTTAAAGGATAAGGGAGGATGTGCATAGGTTGTATGCAAATACTACACCATTTTATATTACTATAAGGGACTTGAGAATCTGGATTTTGGTATCCGAGGGGGTCCTGGAACCGATCCCTTGAGGATTGTATGTGCTTTTTTTTTCTTCCTATTTTAATTAACAAACAAACCAAATAAAGTATTCTGCTAGGCCTAGTAAAGGTAGAAAATAGAACATTCAAGAAGACCAATATAGATAGTCGTGTCTTTGACTGTTGACAGAATTGACTGAATAAAAAGTTATCTCCATAGTGTAATTCTTACTTTTAATTAGAGCCGACACATATTTAGAATGTGTCTGGAAGGACCATCTGCTTTGGATAGGTCTTGTATAATCTTGTAATAGTGAAATATTCATAACTTTTTTGATAATATACTGTAAGATAAAACACAACCAGACCAAATATAATTTTAGGAGTCTCTAGTAAAAAAAAAAAAAAAAAAAGGAAGGAATGGGTGTTGTTGAGAGAGAGAAGGCTGGGTGTCAAATTTCTGTCCTTTGGGATTGAATGATCTCAGCTAAAGACTGAACATGAAGACATTTCAGCAAAAGAAGCAAAGAGCAAGTTTTTGGAGAGAAGAGTAATTTTGACTGCTTGATTTTCAATTAATCTGAGAATAATTGTCAAGCGTGGTGATTTTGTTAAACACTAGTTTCATTCTGGAAGGAACACAGTGAATCACAGAAAACTTCAGTTAAATCTTGGCCTATGCAAGTGTGAATATTCAAAATGTGAATATTTATGATGATGATACAGAATTCCCAGCCTTACTGAAATTAATCTTGCTGTGGTGGTGTAATTGAGTCACTGACATTTTCAGTGCAAAAGTACATGAAATACAAATTATAAGGAAGACAATTAGAACTATAATGGGCACATATTTTCACGAATTCACTTCTCATCTTTTCTTTCATTTCTCACAGGGTAAATGGGAAGTTGGTAGCCCTGAAGGTGATCAGGCTGCAAGAAGAAGAAGGTACACCTTTCACAGCTATCAGGGAAGGTAAACACTCTTACCTGTTGTCATCTTTTGCTTTTGTGTTTGTATGATGCCTGTAGTTATTTAAATATTATATACCTCTGAATATGTAGAGTTTTAAAATTACATAATTATATCTCTTATTGGAAGGTATAAGCTGAAATTTAAAAATTGGTACCTCTTGAAATCATACCAAGTCATGTTCCATAAAATAAGGCACCTGCTATATGCTCAGATGGGGGGGAAAAAACTGCCATGCATTGGGGATGAGGCTATATGGGGAATTGTCTTATTTTGTTTGCAGAGCTCCTAAGATACATATTAGTTTAACATTACTCTGTTTCCATGACTAAGAAGGAAAATTCTTATAAATGGGGATGGAGGATCATGCTATCTTATTAGTCATTTGAATTTCTACTTTCTTGATATCTTTGTTCCTATCCTTTACTGTGTCTTATACTGGTTTTCCTATTGATTTATAGGTACTCTTTATATATAAGGGTCATTTACATTGTAATTTTTTCTCCAGTCTGTCATTTTCAAAAAATTCCTTTTATAATGTAATTTTTTGCTACGTATGATTTAATTTTTATGAAATGAAATCATTTTATCTTTGCTTTGTTAATTTCTGCATAGAAAAGTTTCTCTACTCCCTGAGAATAAAATATCCTCTTTTTTTAATTGGAACTTTTCAATTCAGTTTCATAACTTTTAGGATAAGTAGCTTTGCCTCTAACTACATTTTTAAAAGTGCAAATGATGGTCAGCTGTTATTTCAGGTAGAATGAGCAAAGGAAACTTCTCCATTTCATATATCCTTCTGCCTACTTGGCATACTCTCTTGAATCCAGTAAATATAAAAGGGATAATACATCAGTACCAATAAAGTTCATTTAAGGAACGCAAGGCTGGATCAGTCTTCAAATATAGATCATTGTATAACAGTCACCTCAAACTTAACACATTTAAGTGAAACTCATTGTTCTCCTACCATAACCCAAACCTCTTTCTCTCTCTCCTTCTCTCTTTCCTTCTCTCTCCCCCCCCTCTCTCTCTCTCCCCCTTCCCCTCTCTCCTTCTCTCCCTTTCTCTCTCCCCTTACCTTAAGAGACAGGGTCTTGCTCTGTCGCCCATGCTTGAATGCAGTGGCACAGTCATAGCTCACTGGCTCACTACAGCCTTGAACTCCTGGGCTAAAGTGATCCTTCTGCTCAGCCTCCCAAGTAAGGAGGACTACAGGCACATGCCACCATGCCTAGCTAATTTTTTTTAAAACTTTTTGTAGAGATGGGAGTTTTGCTATGTTGCCCAGGGTGCCCTTGAACTCCTGGCCTCAAGTGATACTCCTTGCCTTGGTTTTCCAAAGTGCTAGGATAACAGGTGTGAGCCACTGTACCTGGTTGACACTTTTTATTTCCTTTTTGTGTTTCAGTTACATATAGATATAGTTTAATATATTTGGAATTATATATGAATATTTGAAATTGTGTGTGTGTACATATATCGTATTATGTATGAATTTCATTTCATAGTATTAAAGGTAAAATATGTCATAAAAATGTTTGTTATATAAAGATGGTATTTGGGTTTGATAGAATAGAAAACTATTGGCTGTGATAGAACAATGGGTTCCTGTTGAGCTGTGGAGGAAGACATGGTTAAAAGTGCTGTTGAATTTGATTATGGTAGACCCTGAATGTGAGAGAAGAGAGGGGCAAGGGATGCTGGGCCCAGAGGGAAGCAGAAGGAAAATGAAACTGGCCAGCAGCCAGGATCCCTAGTATGCAGGGTGTATGCTACCGTGTTTTCCCAAAAATAAGACAGGGCCTTATATTTATTTTTTTCTGAAGAAGACACCCTAGGGCTTATTTTCAGGAGATGTGTTATTTTTTTTAAGTACGGTACAACAATCTACATTTATTCAAATATAGTTAAGTCGTCTTCTTCTAGAACATCATCATAACTCTCCACACCCCAAATTCCATCCTGAATTTCTTGTGACTCTATTTCCTTTAGAACCATTGGCCCCAGTCTCTCATGTCGAGCAACAGAGCTCTCATTAAATGAGCAGGGCTGGTTTATTTATCAGAGATCCAGTGAGCACTGGGTCCAGTCTGCACAGTGGAGCAGAAATGATCTCCCTGGGCTCAGTAGGAGACTGCTTGCTGAAGCTTTTCCCCTATTCCCTGGTGTTTGTGGGGGGTGAGAGAGGCCCACAGTGCTGAGTAAAATGGCGGCCACAGCTTTCCTTCTCCCCCCTGGGGACACACAATACCTAAAGCGGAGTGTCCCCCTCCTCACTTCACTGAGGAGACTTTCCCCTCAAAGCCTCAGCTTGCAGCATGCACAAGATGGCCGGGACCTGACGGGGGAGCCGACCTTGTTGGCGGGGCTGCCCACACCTTTCCAGTCACCTCTGGGATAGTAGCTGTCACGATGGGGCAGATGAGAAGGGCTGCTCATCTTCTTTACCACTCTGAGATGAAGTGCATGGGTTGTGCAGATACACTGCGTAGCCACGCCCATCACTCGGTCTTATTTTTGGGGTAGGGCTGATATTGCACAAATGCTTAGAAATCCTGCTAGGGTTTATTTTATGGGTAGGTCTTATTTTCGTCTTATTTCGAAACATGGTAGAATTAACTAGTTTAAGCTTGCTGTTGGTACTAATCCTGGGTCAAAGTTAACAGCAAGTTCATAATATTAGAGGATCCAATGTAACAGGTGGGTCCATCAGTGGGAGGTTCCAAGGAAGAAGCAAGTAAGTCAAATTGAAGTTGTTTATGATCTACTTGTTCACACTGGCTGAGTGTGAGGTGAGGCCCTTGAGCACAGTGGCAGTGGTAGGGTCAAGGCAACACAGGAGCAGAGAACACAGTGAATCCCTGGCACCCCGAGGGCTGGGTTTGGCAGGCAACATGACATCATTTTAAGCCTTGAGATGAGCTTAGGGACTGGCCCCTTGCTGCGGTTGTGTTGTAGAATTGTAGAATGCAGAGCTGTGTAGGTGGGACCTTGTTCCGTTTGAGAGCCTCAGAAGACTTTTGAGCTGTGCATATTCAGAAGAGAAATCTGATATTAGGACATAATGTAGATTGGATAATGAGGAAACTGGAAGCTGGTAAGTCAGTCATTCAAAGTAGTGCAGATTTGAAATTATGGGTTTGTTGGAAGGCAGTGACAAAAAATGATGTTGTATACAAAGAAATGCCAGACATAGACAAATTATTGGTTATAGATGACATAGGAAGGAAATATCAATGCTTCTGAGTTTGAATGAAAAAATGGTGCCAGAAATAGAAATAGTTTGTGATTGCGCAGAGAGTTGTTTTTAATGCTTTGAGTTTTAAAAGGCTGTTGTTATCCAACTTAATCTTCACATTAGTCCTTTGAAGGAGGTTTTTTTTCAATTTTATAGAATTTACATTGCTTATGAATCTATATTATGAAGATGGAATTGTGGCTCAGAGAAGTTATTAGTAGATGACTAGTAAAAATGAATTGGATCTTGTACCTAGATATCTCATTAGATTCTGAAACTGTGTCATTACTGATTTTTTGGAGTGAGATTGATTTGGGTTTTAAAGATTCTGAGCTCATGAGACCTCTATGTGAAAATGTCTTGTTGGTAATGTGGGAGTGTAGCTCACAAAAGAGTTTGGCATAAGCAGTGTATATTTAGCATTGTCCTTAAGAAGTTGAACAAGATTTTTGTGGAAGAGAACTTTGAGTGAAAACAGGGAGTAAGTTGCAAGGTAGTATAGTGAGGTGGAAACCCCCATGGATATTGGAGTCTTGAAAGCTGGGTTTTGGTTCTAATTTTGTTTTTTATCACTGTACCATATAAGACAAATCGCCTGTATTAGTTTGCTAGGGCTGCTGTAACGAAGCACCACAGATTGGGTGGTTTATTTTTTTTTATTTTTTTGAGACAGGGTCTCACTTTGTTGCCTAGGCTAGAGTGAGTGCTGTGGCGTCAGCCTAGCTCACAGCAACCTCAAACTCCTGGGCTCAAGCAATCTTCCTGCCTCAGCCTCCCAAGTAGCTGGGACTACAGGAGTGTGCCACCATGCCCAGCTAATTTTTTTTCTAGATATGTTAGTTGGCCAATTAATTTCTTTCTATTTATAGTAGAGACGGGGTCTCACTCTTGCTCAGGCTGGTTTCGAACTCTTGAGCTAGAGCAATCCGCCCTCCTCGGCCTCCCAGAGTGCTAGGATTACAGGCGTGAGCCACCGCCCCCGGCCGATTGGGTGGTTTAAACAACTGAAATTTATTGTCTCACAGTTGTAGATGCTGGAAGAGTGGGAGCAGAGTGTCATGGCCCTCCTTGTGAGGGCCGTGAGGGGTGGGTCTGTGTCAGGCTTCTCTCCTTAACTTGTAGATGGTCATCTTCTCCCTGTGTCTTCACATCATCTTTCCTATGTTCCTGTTTGTGTTTGTGTTCAAATTTTCTCTTCTTATAAGTACTCCAATCATATTGGATGAGGGCCCATCCATATGACCTATTTTAACTTAATCATCTCTTTAAAGCCCATGTCTCCAAATATAGTCACATTCTGAGGCACTGGGAGTTAGGATTTCAGCATGAATTTTTTGGGTGAATCCAGCAGTACAGCCCTTAACACCACTGAATGATTCTGGGCCCTAGTAACCTTCCCCGCAGAAAGCAGCAGTTGGCTCATGCTATCCTCAGGGCCGCTACCTTGGAATTGTGGTTTTGATTTCCCAAGGAATCTTTAAACTCAGATTTTTGGATGTTCTAGGTATCAGGAAATGTTAGATGAGTTGTTAAGACCTGGAGAGACTGATCACAAAATGTCATTGTATTTTCCTTTGAATAAAGGAAATGTCTTGAATAAAGGAAAGGATATCTTTCTAATAAAGTCTGACTTCTGAGTGATTTTTAGTGGAGATAAAAGACCCTGTAGAAGGAGGAAGAATTAAACTCTGGGTCAGTTTTAGTTATCCCTTTCTTGCCTTCTCATTTTTGCCTTTCTTAATTGTATTTTTCTGCTATTTAT